CGTTCGGTGGCAAATCCTACGATTAGCATTTCAAGGACTCCCAGCCCTTTGGGAGGCGACCTAAGCTAGGAGGCCAACAACATTAGGGATAAGGGGGGCCGTTCTGCAGATGTCTCGAACCGATCCGACCACATGCATTATTCCTGATGGCAAAATGGGAACCTCAGCGAGGCTACGTCTTAATTACGGTATTAGGGTTAGGGGTTATGTTATCCTCGATGATCCAAGGAGGTCTTCATGGGACCTGAGCCAGGGCGAATGACTAACTCACCCCCCGCTGGGGTAGCATACTCATGCCAAGCACCGTCCCCTATCACTTAGCAACCGTTCCTTAGATGAAATGCATCATAATTTCGCGCTGGGAACCTGTAGTGTAAGGGTGGAACTCGCGTCGATAAGTGGTTCTGGGGATCTGGGTGTTTCAATTCAACGGTGGGGCTCATTTGAGCATGTGAGGATGCATTCAAGCAGGGTTTGAGGGGCTCGAGAGGGTCTTAAGGCAAGGGCGAGAGGGAAGGTAAGATGGGGACGGGAGGGGAGAGGGGAGATTGGAGGCTGAGGAAGCACGGAGAGAACACCAACCAGCCCACCCCGCTGTTCCAGCTCCAACTATGCCCGGCCTCTCTCTCTTCTCCCGTCCAAGCCGCCCTGATCGACCAGACCGAACCCTGCCTTGCCAACGGTTCGCTCCACCACAGCGACGCAGCAATCGGGCTACAAACGGCCGACCCTTCTCCCTACAAGAACTGAACGGGTGCCATGTTCACATCTATACATACTATCAACCGGTGTACAACTGCACGTACCTCTATGTAATGTGTGTTTACGTTTGCACATACATGCGTGTACGTGTATGTGTATAGGTACGACTGAACGCACACACACACACACACGCAAGCACACACACATAATCGCATACACACACATGTATATGCATGGGTACATCTACATACTCGCATATATATATATATATGTATATATATATATATATATATATATGTATACATGTATATACAAGACTGCAGTGGCGCTTCGCGCCATGCACCTTGGTCCTTGAAGCTTGGTGTGCAGGCGGCATAGGAGGAAGGTCAAGCCGACAATTTAGCGATAACTCCTGGTTGCCTTTTCTGGCATCGCCGCTATAATAATGTTTTTCGTTATCCTTCCTCCATGCTTCTTTTTCCTTATGTTCGCCATGCCCTGCGCATTCTCCCCATCCTCCTCTGCTCTTTTTTGCGGAGGTTCCTCTTTGGAGAGCCTCTAGGGGCCTCACAAAAGTTGTTTCAGGCTGCCTTAAGGACTTCTGGAGACCTCCTGGGTGTATTCTGGGGGCCTCCAGGGGCTTCCTCGGGCCACCCTGCCTCCAACCGCGGTCTCCCTGAACGACCGAATCACGATTTGGAATTCTTCGGAAGGTGTCTTTGGGCCATCTTGGGTCGCCATGGGGCTCTCGGACGCCCAGAAGACCGCCGTCTTGGAGCGTCGGGAAGCCGAAAAGAGGAGAACCCTAAAATTCACCAAAAACCAACAGACAATCAATGGTTTTTGCCTCGGGGGGCCTTCTTGGCAGTGCTCTTTGGAGTCCTCTTTAAGGCCGTCCTGGAGGCCTCTTGGGCCATCTTGAGGTCACGTCGGTCACTCTTGGAGCGCTCTTGTGCTGTCTTGGGGGTCTCTGGGACGTCTCCGATGACCCCCCAGATCGCCCTAGGTGTGCTGGGAAGGCTTGGCAAAACGCGATGTGAGGCCCGGTGGCCGCTTCGAGGCCCGTCTGGAGGGCCCCAAAGCCCCAGATCCCGGGAGTCCGGTTTTCTTTTTGGGGGGGGTCCCCCCGCCCGGGCTGATAGAAATATAGGAGAGGAATATGTGTGTATCTATATGTACAGAAGTATACCCAAGGTTAGTACAGCTCTGAGAGGCAGGGAGGTTTTAAAGTCCTTACGGGCCCAGAGCCCCGGTTTCCCAGGCGCTGCTGGGCGCTCGTGGGCGCTCCTGCGCGCTCTTGGGGTGCGTCGCGTGGGCCTCTGGGACGGTGACTCCGCCCAACAGGGACCGGCCCCGAGAAGCCCCCAGGAAAATCCAAGAGGCTCCAGGCCGCCCAAGATGGCCTCAAGACGGCCCACGAGGTCCCGGAAGCGTCACGAAAGAGTTCCAAAAGGAGGCCCAAAGAGCGCCCTAGGAAGCAAGAGTTAGTCCCACGCCCTTCGGAAAGCGTATATTTCTTGCATATTCGCCTCTTCTATTTTCATAGAGTCGAAGACGGCCCAAGAAACCCCCGAGATCGCCCGAAGACGGCCCCAGAGGCCCCCAAGAGGGCTCCAAGACAGCTCAGGAGGTCCCCAAGGCGGCCCGAGAGGCTCCCAGACAGCCCCAAGACGGACCAAGAGGGACCCAAGACGGCCCAAGAGGCCCCAAGACGGCCCAAGAGGGCCACAAGACGACCCCAAGAGGGGCCCAAGAATGTGAACACGCACCGAAAAATATGGCTTTCCGCCCCAAGAGCCCCCCAGGAGGCCCCAAGAGGCCCCAGCAGGCCCCAGGAAGCCTCCCAAGAGGCCTCCAAGGGGCCCCAGAAGGCCCCCAAGAGGCGCAAAAGGTGCCCCAAGAGGCTCCCAAGCGGTTTCCCAGAGTCAACCAAGAGGCCCCCCAGAGGCTCCCATAAGGCCCCGAACTGCTCCCACGAGGCCCCCGAGAGCGCTCCGAAGAGACCCGAAGGAGCAACCCTGAGACTCTGACCCACAACACACGCACGGTGGCGGGATGTGCCGAAGGGTCTCTCTCTCTCTCTCTCTCTCTCTCTCTCTTTCCCCCTCTCTCTATATGTGTGTGTGCGTGTGTAAATATAACATGATTGTATGTTTGTATGTTTGTATGTATGTATGTATGTATGCATGCATGCATGCATGTATGTTGCACCCCGCAGATGCGGATACGAGTGACGGGGCGGTGGGGACGTCGGCAATTTGAGAGTCTCTGGAGAAGCCCGCCGCAGGCGCCGAACTTTCACAAACTATACAACGAGGCCGCCGCAGGCGCCGACTTCCTTCGTTAAACCAATGTGGGTAGGTCGCGGGTGGGTCGCTGGTGGGTTGCAGGTGGGTCGCTGTTGGGTCGCGGGTGGGTCGCGAGTGGGTCGCGGGGGGTGGGTCGCGGGTGGGTCGCAAGTGGGTCGCGGGTGGGTGGCGGGTGGGTCGCGGGGTGGGTCGTAGATGGGTCGCGGGTTGGGTCGCAGGTGGGTCGCGGGGTGGGTCGCGGGGTGGATCGCGGGTGAGTCGCGGGTAAGACGACGACAACAAGCAACAGCACCACCACTACCACCACCACCAACAACAACAATAACAGCAACAACACCACCAACAACAACACCAACAGCGACAATAACAACAACAACAACAACAACAACAACAACAACAACAACAACAACAACAACAACAACAACAACAACAACAACAACAACAACGCAACAAACATAATCCTCACCATGGATCCCCACTTCAACCACGCACCCAGGGACAACGAATGACCGTTCGGCCCCTCACTCTGATGTGTATAAATATACATACGTAATCCTGTATGTATGTACGTACGTATGTATATGTGTATGCGTGTGTGTCTGTATATGTGTGTATGTGTATATGCAGGGATGTATGTTTGTATGTATGTATGCGTGCATGCGTACAAACATATATACATACATATATTGCTCGCGGCCATTAATACAATTATCTAGATACATCCGACGCACGTGGAACCCCACTTCAGGCGCAGCGCACAACGCCATGAATGGCAACCTTTTTACCACATGTGCGCACCTATCTCCCGAGCCAGATTCCCCCAAGAACGCCCAACGCCCCGAAGCGCGAGGTCCCACGGTCCCGCCTCGTCGGCGCACCGCGCCCGGGGTTCCGAGCCTCCGGCGCGCGGCGCCCCTCCGCGATGGGTGTCGATCTGCGGCTGTCGGCGGGGGTGGCGCCCACCCGGGGCGCTGATCATCGAACTCTGCGCACAGGAGTACTGTTCTAATGCACGGGATCTCTGGACAATAGGTTCGCGCAAGTCAAAACGTCTGGTTTAGGTCGGGCATGACCTCTTATAAGCGGATTTTTGGACGACAAAAATCCAAAATGGTCAAACATAGTAAACAACCGTTCCCGAACTATGTCTAAAACTCTGTTTGAACATTCCTCCTGTAGAAAGACGTGCCCGACTTAACGCGAAGTCGTGAACCAGAAAGACCGGTGCCACGCGCTCGCGCGCCGAAGTCCATGTCCGCGATGGAAAAGGATGGGGACCGCAGCGCGCGGCACGCTGCATCGGAAACGAGGGCGCCTACGCGCGACCTTCCGCGGTCAATTTGCGCGCCACTGTCGGTGCAGGCGATCCCGTTGTCTTCCGTCGCTCGTTTGAGTTCTAGGTCGCATAGCTCACAAGGGCAACGCCGCCCGTCGTGTTTTTTTCGTTGCGCCCTGCCGCGAGGGAACCAGGTGGGGTAAGCATGGCGCCTGCGCCAACTTCGGGAAGATGCCGCCCATGTCCTCGGCGGGCGGCCACGCACGAACGCAGGAGGAAGAGGATGCGGAGGGAGGGAGAAGAGAGGGATGCTCGACAACAGCCTTTAGCACAGAGAACAGCCGCATCACTACGGACTCGTGCGCAGGCAGTGCGGGAGACACTCGGTGCAAACGGCCGAGAGTTCAGCAACGTGAGTCATCCACCGACCCCCGCTGCCCTGGGGAGGACAGTCGCGCGAGACATGCGGCTGTCACCCTCCCCCTCTGCCCCCCCCCGCCCCCGGGGGCCTAACGTCCTGCCTTGGGGGGGGAGGCGGGGGTCTGCGAACTCCTCTGCGCACGTCGGGAGCCCTCGGAGCCTGCCTTCCACGACGGTGCAAACAGGGCCCCAACACGCCAGACCAGCCTTAGGAACACCCACGGTGGCCCAAATAGGGCGGAACGGGGCCCCAAAGACGCCCCGCGAGGGCCCCGATTGGCAAAACCAATTGATTCCCCTAGGCCTTCAAGAAGACCTCCAAAAGGCATGCGCGAGAAATCCAAGGCCAAAGCCGGCCGGCCGCGCGCCTACGACCGCTGTACAACCACATGCGCGAGCCGCGGATGAAAAGTCGGTCCGCCGTACGACGGCGTTCCTGCCCGTGGAACACCGCGACAAACTGCTCCGACGGGGCGCGTGGGCGGCTCAAGACGCAGTCGGACCCCAAAGGTATGATACATGGGCGACTGGTCTCTTGGATTGTGGCCGCAGGTGCGTGTCGTCACCAACTTTTGCGTCGGCGGCTAGGAAGAGTGACTGCGCTGGCGGATAGGGCAAACGTAGGGCATACAATTGCGAATTAAGCCGCGATGCGCGTGAGGAAGAAGAGAAAAGGCCCGGCGCGGGCGGGAGGGAAATGGAAGCCGGGCCCGCTCAGAGCGGGGCCAGGCCGCGGCAGGGGCAGCGCCGGGGCAGCGGGGCGGCGGCCGCAGGGCAGCCGGGGTGGCGCAGCAGCCAGGAGCGGCAGCGCCTGGCGGGGGGAAATGCCCAGCCTGTACTGGGGGCGAGCAGCGCAGCGAAGCGGCCGTGCGCCCAAATGGGACCGACCTCCAGGAGGAAGGAGTGCGAGCAGAGGCGCCGAGATACACGGGACCTGCGAGGCGCCTCTGAGCGACGTCACCAACACATACCAGGTACACCGATGGGCATTCGCCCAGGTCCCACACGGGCCACCGCCGCAAAACTGCCAAGCGACAGTCAGCTCCCAAATTGACCCTCTCGGTCAGGGCCTCCACGAGGCAAAACAAATTGTTACACATTTCGCGGTTTCGGGGTCGTTGTGTCGGGTGTTGATGCAAGCCCTAGGCGGCCCGCGAGCCCCCCCAGATCAGCCCCACGACTGCTAAGAAACCGACAAGAAGGTCGGATACGGCCCCAGAGGGCCCCGGTCCAAGACGGCCCTACAGGCCTTCACGAGGGCCCCAATAAGGGAAATTCGCAGGGGCCCCAACTGCCCCACCCAATACCATGCCACCCAGGACGCCAACCATGCCCTCAAGAGGCCCCCAAGAAGCCCCCAGAAGGCCCCCAAAAGCATTGAAAAAGGCTCCCACGAGACCGCCCACAGTGACTCCACGAGGCCCTGCAACAGATGAGGAGGCAAATAATGACAAACCAGCAACAGCTACACGCAGGCACCAGGGCGGGAAGCAGCAAACAACACACACGACATCGGAGGCAACACTGTTCCTTTCTGTATGGGGTCGCCAACATAGCGTGAACTTCTTGAGCAACGTTTTATTGAGGAGATCTAAACGCATAGTCCGACTACACCGTTTCGTGTTTAGGGTGTTTCGCTAGATGCGTCGGATTGTTTCGACAGCTTCGTGTTTGGTGACACTATGGGTCCAGTAGTTTCGGGGGACCTGGGTTGTGCAAGCCTCGAACCTGGCCGAACCTGGAACAGCGCTTGCACTTAAAAACTGCAACGGCGGAGACATCGGTGCGATCAAAAGCTGCCACCGTGTGCCCTGACCCCTTGGATGGGTGAACGCTGAAGCCTCCGAACCCGCTTGGGCCCGCAAAAATCCCCACACAAGTCTCCGCGGCAGGTTGGACAGCTCGGAAGCTGGAGGGGGAGTGCGGCGTGGCCCCAACCAAGGAGTCGCTTTCGGTGTCGGTTCGTGTCGCGCGGAGGGGAGAGGCGAAGGTGCGCGGTAGCGGCGATGTGTCTGCCGAAGATGGGGCCACCTCGGGCAACAAATTTCCTGGTGGGCCTCGCGGTGCAGTCCCATGGTTGTCCCGCTGGTTGTCCCGCGGGTGGCTTGTTTCACGCGCTGTACAATGATTGTCCAGCCGCTTGTTTCGCGGATTGCGCCGTAACTGACCCGCGTGCTCTCCCGAGTGCTGTCCCGTGGATTACACCGCGGGTGATCATGCGTGTGGTCCTGCGGGCCGTCGCGAGGTTGTCCCGCGGTTGCGGTTTCCCCCAGATGCCATCCACGCAGACAACACATATACATCTGTGTATAAACACAGGCGTATAAATATATCACTCATACTCCATAGGTGTATAATGGTACACATATATATATATGTGTATATACTCATATCAGCCAGCGTTGACTCCAAATTGATTAGGCGACTCAAATCCAGGAATCAGAGAAATCAAGCATGCTTGGAATCCGCAACTCAGAAAGTAGGCACGCGTGCAAGCAACAGCGCAAGCGCGCAAGCAAGCAAGCGCGCAAGCAAGCAGGCAAGCAAGCAAGCACGCAAGTAAGCAAGCAAGCGCGCAAGCAAGCATAGGCACAGGCGGAGGAGCGCTCAGAGGTGGTGCACAGGCATAAGCATAGGCACAGGCATAGGAGCGCTCAGAGGTGGTGCATAGACATCGGCATAAGCATAGGCGCAGGCATAGGAGTTAGGGGGGAGGCATAGGCATAGGCATAGCCACAGGAATTAGGGGGGCACAGGAATTAGGGGAGGTGGGGCAACGGACCAATTAGTAGGGTTTGAGTTAGAACTCCTAAGGACAAGCCTGTTTGGATAACAAATGTGGAATGTGCCCCCCCCCCCACACCAAGGACCTATTTTCTGCCCTTCGTCAGACCTCATTCTCTGCCTGTTCGTCTTCCCCCCATATGTGAAGGATTTCTAGTGGATGTAGATGAGGGCCAAACATTCCTGTCTATCGCATTTGAGCAGGCCGAAGATTCAGAGAATGTCGAAAGGATCTGAATAAGAAACCCAGCAACCCAATAAAACATGGAACAGCCACCATATTCGACGTCGGGGAATCCTGGGAAGCCCCATCGACCACACAGGCATCAACATGATACTCGACACGATGGAAAGTCGCCCGACATCGTGGAATCGGTGGTGTAGAAACATCTGCATATGTAAGTAGGTACATACATATACGTACATGCATTCATTCATACAGACGCGTGCACATGCACGCACGCATACAACGGACTCGGAGGGGCATCTTCCTTCCCATTGTCCTGGGTCTGTTCCCCATCCTCCTCTCCGTCCTCACGTCCGCTTCCTCATCTTTCTCTCCCTCTTCCTCCTCCTCTTCCTCCTCCTCCTGCCACCACTCATCCTCGTCCTCATCCCCCATGGCACATCCCACATATGACACTCAGTATCATATTCTTCTCCCGAATAGCATGCGAGACAATGAAGATAGGATATGGGGGGCAAAATCCCGAGATTGGTGGGGGGGGCCTTCCCCCACCATTCATCCCTTTTCCAACTCCGGGTTTCCTTCTGCACCCTGCGCCACATCCTCGTCAGCATCCGCATCGTCCTCCTGCCACCATCCTGCTCCGCTTCCTCCTCCTCCTCCTCCTCCTCCTCTTCCCCACCCCTTTTCCGACCTGTTTATTATAACCATCATCGCCGTCGTCGTGGACATCCTCATCATCGTCGGCATCCTCCCCAGTTGTCCCCATGTTTGGCACCTTCCTCGCCCCCCCCCCCCCAAAAAAAAAGCGCGCGAGGAGAACAACGATGCGGCAGGGGCGGTGGTCAGAGAGGCGAACAGATGAGCACGCTGGAGGCGGAAGAAGAGAGGGATGACAACCATCCTCTCCGCCATCCCCCAACAACCAACCTCATATTCGCAGTCCTCCCCCTCGTCCCCCGAGGATGCGGTGATTCGAGGAGTAGCAGGTGAAGAAATCCGCCTGTCCCCCCCATCCCCCCCCCCCCCCCGTCCACTCATCCGCCCCCCCCCCTCCCCCCCCCTCTGCCCCACGCGCCTCGTATCCCCCCCCTCCCCCCCCCACCACCACTGTCTTCGCCCGATGAGAGATGATGCGAGATGGGGGCGCAGGGCGAGAAGAAGAGGGAAAAGGGGGGGCGAGGCTGATGATGGTGAGGAAGATTTGAAAAATGCTCGTTATCATCCTCTCCTCCACCGCGCCCTCCCCAACCATCCCACGAGGAAGTGGAGGCGGGATGGTTCCGACGGCGACGGCGATGCCGATGATGTGGAAGGGAAGGGAAGGGGGGGGATCTTGCGGAGGAGGGGAAGGGGAGGGCTCCGTCCACTTTCACCACTTGCATCTCTCCTCAATCGTTTCTCCATTTTCCTCGCCCTGCCCCGCGACTGTCCGACATTTTTTCCTTCCGCCCGAAGGTGCAGGTCGAGGATCCCCAAACTTCCTGCCGCTCCCGCACGCCAGATCGACCGCTGCCAGGGCGGAAAGGCGCCGCGTGCCCGCGCCGTGGACGCGCTGTCGTCCAGAGCAGCCCGGGCGGCCAGACCTCGGACGCGCAGGGAACGTGCGACCCCAGACGACCGCAACTGGAGGACGCCGGCTGCGCCGACACACACGAGGGGCCCCTCAGAAGGGCCTCAGAGGCAGGGGCCTCTCAGAAGGGTTTCTCCTCCACTCCTACTCCTCCTGTCCCTCCTCCTCCTCCTCCTCCTCTCCTCCTCCTCCTCCTCCTCCTCCTCCTCCTCCTCCTCCTCCTCTCCTCCTCCTCCTCCTCTTCTTCTTCTTCTTCGTCTTCGTCTTCGTCTTGGTCTCATTGTTATTATGATTATTCTTATGATTATTATTATTATTCTTCTTCTTCTTATTATTCGTCTTCTTCGTATTCGTATTCTTATTATTATTCTTCTTATTCGTATTATTATGTTTATGCTTATGCTTATGCTTCTGCTGCTGCTGCTGCTTATGCGTCTGCTTCTGCTTCTGCTTATGCTTCTGCTTATGTTTCTGCTTATGTTTCTGCTTCTGCTTCTGATGATGCTTCTGCTTCTGCTTCTGCTTCTGCTTCTGCGTCTGCGTCTGCGTCTGCGTCTGCTCCTGCTCCTGCTCCTGCTTCTGCTTCTGCTTCTGCTTCTGCTTCTGCTTCTGCTTCTGCGTCTGCGTCTGCGTCTGCGTCTGCTGCTGCTGCTGCTGCTGCTGCTGCTGCTGCTTCTGCTTCTGCTTCTGCTTCTGCTTCCGCTTCCGCTTCCGCTTTCGCTTCCTCCTCCTGATCAATCTCCTCATCCTCCTCCTCCTGCTTCTGTTTCTGCTTCTGCTTCTGCTCCTGCTTCTGTTTCTGCTTCTGCTTCTGCTTCCTCCTCCTCCTCCGCCTCCGCCGCCGCCGCCTCCGCCTCCGCCTCCGCCTCCGCCTCCGCCTCCGCCTCCGCCTCCTCCCTCCTTCCTCCTTCCCTTCCTCCTTCCTCCCTCCTCCTCCTCTTCCTCCTTCCTCCTTCCTCCTTCCTCCTTCCTCCTCCTCCTCCTCCTTCCTCCTCCTCCTCCTCCTCCTCCTCCTCCTCCTCTCCTCCTCCTCCTCCTCCTCCCTCCTCCCTCCTCCTCCTCCTCCTCCTCCTCCTCCGCCTCCTCCTCCTCCTCTCCTCCTCCTCCTCCTCCTCCTCCTCCGCCTCCTCCCCTCCTCCTCCTCCTCCTCCTCCTCCTCCTCCTCCTCCTCCTCCTCCTCCTCCTCCTCCTCCTCCTCCTCCTCCCCCCCCCGCCTCCTCCTCCCTCCTCCTCCTCCTCCTCCTCCTCCTCCTCCTCCTCCTCCTCCTCCTCCTCCTCCTCCTCCTCCTCCTCCTCCTCCTCCTCCTCCTCCTCCTCCTCCTCCTCCTCCTCCTCCTCCTCCTCCTCCTCCTCCTCCTCCTCCATCCTCCTCCTCCTCCTCCTCCTCCTCCCCCTCCCCCTCCACCTCCCCTCCCCCTCCCCCTCCCCCTCCCCCTTCCCCTCCTCCTCCTCCTCCTCCCTCCTCCTCCTCCTCCTCCTCCTCCTCCTCCTCCTCCCTCCTCCTCCTCCTCCCCTCCTCCTCCTCCTCCTCCTCCTCCTCTCTCCTCCCCCTCCCCTCCCCCTCCCCCTCCCCCTCCCCCCCCCCCTCCCCCTCCTCCTCCTCCTCCTCCTCCTCTCCTCCTCCTCCTCCTCCTCCTCCTCCTCCTCCTCCCTCCTCCTCCTCCTCCGCCTCCGCCTCGCCTCCGCCTCCGCCCCCGCCTCCGCCTCCGCCTCCGCCTCCGCTCCGCCGCCTCCGCCTCCGCCTCCTCCTCCTCCTCCTCCCCTCTCCTCTCCTCCTCCTCCTCCTCCTCCTCCTCCTCCTCCTCCTCCTCCTCCTCCTCCTCCTCCCCCTCCCCTTCCTCCCCCCCCTCCTCCTGGACAGGCCGACGTTGGGCCCGGCGTCCTCCTGGCTGGGCGTCGAGGGCGAGCAAGCCGGCTTTTAGGGTCCAGGGCTGCCCGGCGTCGGCGTCGGCGTCGGTGCGTCCCCCGAGGCCGCGGGCACTGCGCCGCACGAGGATGGCGGAACGCGAGGTCCAGGCCCCCTCGGGGAATGAAAAGATCGTGACGGGAGGTCTTTTGCTGTTCTCGGCCTCTGGGGGCCCTTGCCGGCCCTCGAGACTGTCAAAAAACGACTCGAAAGGAAAAAATCATGACGGGACGTCTTTTGCTATTTTCGGCCTCTGGGGGCCCTTACCGGCCCTCGAGACAAGAAACGACTCGGGATGACAAACCCGTCCAGGGGAATGGGTCGAGACCTCCAGAGGTCGACGTAATGAACAAATCACGACCTCGGGGGTCTGGGGAGCATGCTTCCCGAGCTGTGAGCTGCATGGCACCTGCGGTCAGGCGCCCGGGAAGACGATCTTTCTGAAGGTGAGGTTGATGCTTCGGTGGCAACTCATGGGAGCCTCCCATACCCTCTTGTCGGCTCTTGCGAAATCTACGCTGCTCGACCCTACATCGGTGCTATCTCATCGACTCCCAGACGCTCATCGACGCCAGAGGCAGAATTGCGAGGGTGGAAAAAGCTCCCATGACTTGCTTCCGAAGTGGATGCGCTCCTCCGAAACCTTTTTCCGCCGCGGCAAGCAGTGCTGCCACAAGTGCTGGGCTAGGTGGCCACAGGCGAGCCCTACCCCACCACTCCACGACTTCTGAGGGGGGGGAGGTGGGGTTCACTTCGCTCAGGACCTCCCGAGCGATGCAAACCCCACCTCCCCCCTCAAGAATCGTGGGGTGGTGGGGTAGGGCTCGCATGTGGCCACCGATGGGTCTGCCCGCGCATGACCAGCAGGGAGCCGGGCTGCAGCCGCACGCGCAGCTTCCTCGCCCCCGGGGAGGCGGCCGCCTCCCGGAGGTCGAAGTCCCGCGCGGCGCCCAGGCTCACGGAGGCGATGGTCGGGCAGGGCCCGTACAGGGCCTCGCTGTCTGCGTGCCAGCCCACCGTGTCGTCCCCGGACCGGTAGCGGTTGCAGAGCACCGAGTTGAGGCGCTGGGGGCGACGAGGGAGGCGACTAGCCCAAGGGTAGGGCGACGAGATCTATGCATATCCACTGCTCCTGGCCAGGCCCATCCTGGGCCCAGGAGCTGTATATATGCCTCCCTGGCCAGGCCAGGAGGGCGTATACACCGCTCCTGGGCCCAGGATTGGCCTGGCCAGGAGCAGTGGATATGCATAGATCTCGTCGCCCTAAAGGGGGGAGCAGTGCGTGCATCATCGTGGCGCCCGCCCCGAGGCTGCTCGCCCCGATCGCCGCCTCCGGAAGCGCTCGCCCGTGGCCGCCTCCACCCTCTGGCGGATCGCGCCCAGCGGAGGGCAGGCCGACCACGGCAGCGGGTGGACGCTGCGGCCCGAGTACCGGTAGGAGAGGCCCGCATCGCCGTAGTAGCACGTCAGCCGCGGCTCCGGGTGCGCCCGCCCGAACACCGTCACCGTGCCCTGCGCCCAGGCCGCCGCGCGCTGCATGCCGGAGAACCAGGCCGCGGCCTCGGCCGCGCCCGCGAAGCCTGGCGCGTACCTTGGCAGCGCAGGGAAGGGGGGGGGGAGTCGGAAGTTTCGGGTGCCCGCCGCGGAAGCCTCCCGAGGGCGACGAACTCCGAGACAAAATAGAGGTCAAAAAATCCACCCCCATAGTAACCACCCCGACACTCGAAGTCGTTCAGTAAACGCGCCCAAAGAGGGAATCGAGCAGGACAGGGCTGTTAAATAAACGCCCAAGGCCTCTGAATAACCGCCAGCTGTCCGGTCCGGGTGGCTTTTCCTCCCTCGACACAGGGAGCCAGAGGCACTCCGAACACCTGAGCCGCCCTTCCGAGGCAGGCAGGGACCGAGGAGCAAATTTGGGACCTGCGCCCCCCCCCCAACAGAAGCCAGAGCATCATCGATGACTGGTGCAACAGGCCGCTCGACAGGCTGGGGTCCGGGAGCCAGGACAACTGCACATACTCTCAACGAACGACGGCTGCGCACCGAGGCGCGTTCAGAGTAGCCTGGCGAAGGACCCAACCGTACGCAGCTTTTGGCGCCGTCGTTGTATGCACCGCATTCGGTGGAGCTCCCTATGGGGCCACGAAGCGTGTGAGGGGTGTGCCAACATGGGCGCGGCGGCCGCATGCGAGCACTGGCATCTGCGCCTCCGGTAACGCTCTCTGTGGTGCCACAAAGCGTGAGGGCTGTGCGAGAATGGGCGCGGTGGCCGCATGCGAGCGCTGGCATCTGGGGCCTTCGGTGGGGCTCCTGATGAGACCACGAAACGTGCGAGAGGTGTGCCAAAATGGGTGCGGTGGCCAAATGCGAGCGATAGCACATGGGGCCCTCGGTGGAGTTCCGTGTGGGGCCACGAAGCGTGTGAGGGGTGTGCCAACATGGGCGCGGCGGCCGCATGCGAGCGCTGGCATCTGGGCCTTCGGTGGGGCTCGTGCGAGAGGTGTGCCAGAATGGATGCGGTGGCCGCATGCGAGCGCTGGCATCTGGGCCTTCGATGGACTTCCCTATGGGGTTTCAAAACGTGTGAGAGGTATGCCAGAATTGATGCGGCTGCCGCATGCGAGCGCTGGCATCTGGGCCTTCGGCGGGGGCCAGGAAACGTGTGATGGGGTGTGCCAGAATGAGTGCGATGGCCGCATGCGAGCGCTGGCACCTTGGCCTTCGGTGGCGCTCCCTACGGGGCCACGAAGCGTGTGAGGGGTATGCCAGGACGTGTGCGGTGGCCACATGCGAGCCGCATGCGGTGGAGCTCTCTATGGGGCCACAAAACGTATGACGGGAAGACGGGAGTGAGGAGAAGAGGGAGGAGAGGCGTAGGGGAAGGAGAAGAAGAAAAGGAGGAGGGACGCGGGGCGCTGTCCTTTCAAAACGAGGACCCAACACTACAGGATGGTTGGGAACAAACAGCGAAAACAATCCAACAACCAAAACATATCTCCCCATGGATGGGGCCACGAAGCGCGTGAGGGGTGTACCGACATGGGCGGGGCGTCGCATGCGGATCCTCCCACATAGGCCTTCGGTGGAGAAACGTGTGAGGGGCGTGCCGGAATGGGCGCGGTGGCGCTATGTGAACCCTACAGCTGGAGCCTTCGGTGGAGCCCCCGTATGGGCCCACGAAACGTGTGAGGAGTGTGGCGAGAGAGGTGCGGTGCGCACCTTGCCACTTGGGCCTTCGGTGGAGCCCCTGTGAGTCCACGAAACGTGTGAGGGGTATGCCAAAAATGGTCGCGGTGGCCGCATGCGAGCGCAGCCACTGGGGCCTTCGGTGGAGCCCCTTTTGGGGCAACGAAACGCGTGAGGGGTGTACAAGAATGGGTGCGGTGCCCGTACGCGAGCGCAGCCACTGGGGCCATCGGCGGAGCTCCCTGTGGATCCACGAAACGTACGAGAGGTGTGCGAAACTGGGCGCGATGCCCGCATGCGAGCGCAGCCACTGGGGCCCTCGGTGGAGCTCCCTATGGGGCCACGAAATGTGTGAGGGGTGTCTGCCAAATGGGTGCGGTGGCCAAATGCGAGCGCAGCCACTGGGACCCTCGGGGGACGTCCCTATGGGGCCACGCAACGTGTGAGGGGTGTGCCGAAATGGGTGCGGCGTCCGCATGCGAGCGCAGCCAGTGGGACCCTCGGTGGAGCTCCCTACGGGGCCACGAAGCGTATGAGGAGTGTGCCGAAATGGGTGTGGTGTCCGCATGCGAGCGCAGACAATGGGGCCTTTGGAGGAGGTCCCTTTGGGAGTGAGGGGTGTGCTGACATGAGCGGCGATGATCGTGACGATAACGACGATGATGATAAAGATCATGGTGATGATGATGATGTTGTTGATGATGAAGAAGATGATGATGGGATGATGGCATGATGAGGTGATGTTGGGACGATGGAATGATGGTAGGAGGAGGTGGAAGGAGGAAGGAGGAGAGGAGGAGAGGTGGGACGCGGGGCGCTGTCTCTTCAAAACAACACCCAACACCACAGGATGGTTGAGGGAAAAACATGTTTGCTTCAGCGACGCCGCCATTGGGCTCTCACTTTTCCCGCGGGTCCACGCCGCCGATCCCCTCGTTGGCAACAGAGAGCACCGCTGGCTCGGCATCAGCCTCATTGGGGGGAGGGTTGGCGCCTCTTCACCCGCCTCTCTCAGGGCGGACCCGAAGCCGCCAAATCCTCCCTTCGGGCAGACGCCAACGTGGATCCGGGATCCGTGGATCTGGCGCGCAAGGCGCCAGGTCCACAGACTGGGGAACGCAGCCCTCGAAACATGGTGGCAGTGCCGCCTGAGTCGGCGACGGATCGCGCACATCTGGTATGGAAACGCGACCCGTCACTAACTAACGCGACCTAGTCCATGTCTGGGCTTCCTCGAGGCTGAGGCGGCGAGGCTCTTCGACGCCTGGTTGCTGTCGGATCAAACTAGAGTCTCTGGCGGCTGTCCTGGACGATCTGGGAACCCCGGAGATCTCTCGACGAGGCGCAGCTGCTGGAAAACATCCCGGAGCTGGAGAACCGCTGAGACAACTTATTAACAAGAAGCCCTCCGATCCTCCTCCCCCCTCGATCCATCGAGCGTTTACGCTTCCTCGACCGATCGAGGCACCGCAGCTCGCTGCCCACGCCGCAAGAAACCACCAGAAGAAGCCAAACGCAAACGCCCTGGGGGGTCCTCCACGCAGCGCGCGCAGCGAAGAATCCCTAGTTAGGTGCACTGACGAAAGGCAGCTGGTCTCTTCATGCGTTTCCTCACTGTCGTCTGATTTAGCGACGGATCGCGCCGATTCTGGAAACTAGCCAAATACTAAATACTGATACGACTACTCCCTGGACCTCCCTCGGGATGCGTTTGACCATCATTTCGAGATCAAGCCAGCGGTGACGACGAGGAGCTCCCCTGAAGCCCAAACAGGCGAAAACGAGGCAAAGGCACTGGCATCGGCGCCTCCTCATCCCCTGAATCTTTCTGTCAACGCCCCTCGAACGGGGACCTCACTAGCGGGCACTTTGACCAGTGACCCAATGAACCCACTCCTCCCCGATGTGTGCCACGCTGCAATGCCAGAAAGAGGCCCTGAAATGGTAACCTTCGGCGATGTTCCCCAAAGAACCCGTTAGCGAGCACCCGTCACGGTGCCGCTCCCTCTGGGCGAGCCCGAGGCGGCCGGACCCTGGAACGAGGCACCGCAGCTCGCTGCCCGCGCCATCCAGGCGCCCCTCGAAGCCGACGCCCGCGCGCGCGGCCTCTCCGGACGTCCGAAATGGGTACGGACAAACATGGGTACGATGCCCAGGCAACAGGTGCTCCCCAAAACCGACAGCGGCCGCTGTAGAGCAGGCGGCCTCCTGCCTCAGGCGTCCTCGGGTGCGTGGCTGAAGCGGGATTCCGTGGCCAAGATTGTTGCTGTTGCTGTTGCTGTTGTTGTTGCTGAGGCTGCTGTTGTCGTTGTCATTGTCCTTGTCGTTGTCGTTGTCATTGCCGTCGTCGCTGTTGTTGTTGTGTTTGTTGTGTGTTGCTGTTGTCGTTGTCGTTGTCGTTGTCGTTGTTGCTGTTGGTGGTGTTGAACATTATTTCTTCTTAAGAATAATTATTGTTGGGACCCCTGGTGCACGGCCCCCCCGCCGCGCCTAGGCCGCAGCTACATTTTCATCATTTTCGTGAGGAAGTCTCAGGCAAAACGATTGTGTCCGGATCCGGTTGTTTTGTTCCCCCCCGCTTTCCCTTGCAAAAAACACTATAAAATGAAAATTCTTGTTTTTACTTGATCAAATTGCAAGAATCCCTTGCAAAAAATAAGGTAAAGTGGACATTCGTGCGCGCAAGACGAAATCCTTCCAAAACCTTAGGTTTCGTAGCGATTTTAACATAAAAACATCAAAAACCCAATGGTTTTTAAAAAAAATTGTCAAAATGTCCTTCCGCGCGCTCTTGCGGATTCGTAGGAAAACCAACACTTTTTAAACATTTCTGTCAAACGGGCTTTTGCGAGCAACTTTTTCGAACTTCTGCGACAACGGTTGCGCACCTGCCAGGGCCATCATCCCTGTCAAATAATACCATGCGGGACACATTCGTTTTTTCTTCGCGCGCGCACGCCGAAATCTCCAAAAACCATTGGGTTTTTAAGAATTTTAGCACCGCGCATCATAAAATCACACGAATCGCACCGTAGGTCCTCGAAAAACACCTGCACGACTTTTCAAAATTTCCACCCGCGCGCGCTGTCCGACGTTCCCATGACGTTCCCACAAAACCAATGGTTTTTCAACATTTATGTTACATGAGCTCGCGCGAGCTACTTTTTCTTGTTCTAACATAATCAAATTTCAATACTCCCTTGCAAAAAAAAGTAAAGTGGACATTCGCGCGCGCAAGACCAACAAAAAACACGACGATCTCAGGAACTTGCCCCAAAAATGTGACCAACTCCGCTCTCTCTGTCTCTCTCTCTGTCTGCTCTCTGTCTCTCTCTCTGTCTGTCTGTGTCATGTATTGTATGTCACAATTGCAGGATGCTGGGCACACGCGCGCCCCGAATAAGTGACCAAGTTCTGTGGGTGTGTACCCCACGCCAGTGTAGTAGCCACGGTCGTCCGCACGCCACGAAGTGAAGTGTCCCAACGTCATAGGGCGGGAAGCTGGGTTTGGGTGGTCGCGAAGAGTCGTTTGGATATTTGGTAGAGCTTGAACTGCCCCCCCACGAAGTGGGGGTATTGTCTCGCGTCGCATGAAAACCCTGGCACTGGTGAGAACACTGAGCGTTCGGGTAAAATGATTGTTGTTGTTGTTGTTGTTGTTGTTGCTTTTATTGTTGAGTTCTGATTTCTAAAGAATAATTATTGTTGACCCCCTCCCTCTAGGGCACACATCATTTTTTGAATTGAAGTGCTCTTCCCTGGGCTCGCATCCTGCTGTTTTATCAGGGGAAGTCTTGGATCTCATAATGCTGTTGTTGGCCCCTGGATTTCAACAACAGCGGCTCCCGCCCGATATTTCCTCACAATGTATTTCCAAATCGCGCTGTCGCGCAGAACTTCCTCACAACGTATGCAGGAATCGTGCTCTCGCGTGGAACTTCCTCGCAGTTTATTCAGACGCCGCGCCCTCGACACTCAGGAATCTTGCTCTCGCTGTCGGTTTCCTCACTATTTATGTGGGAATCGCGCTGTCGCTCGAGACTTGCTCGCGATTCATGCAGGACGCACGCTTCAGCAACCCGCCCGCCCCTTGTCCCTTCCTTCCCTCCGTCCTCGCTTCCACTTCCTTAGGGACTGCACGAAGTACATGTTGCAGGTAAGAAAAATCTACCCCTGAGGGGGTACGACCGAAGACGAAGAGGGCGGGCGGGTATCGATGGTTTGGGATATACTTGTTGACTGGCACGCTAGCAAATAAGAGCGAACAGGCTGGAAATGATTGCTGTTTTTGTCGTCGTCGCCGTCGTCCTCGCCCACGACCCGCCTCGACCGACCCCGCGACCCCTTCCACGACCCACCCGCGGCCCACGCCGCGACGCACCCGCGACCCATCCCGCGACCCACCCCGCGCTCGCCCCCTCTCACCCTCACCAGCAGCAGCGGTGTGCTTACGTGGCCACGCCACTCCTCCCGTGTAACCACTCCACAGCATGTGGCCCTCGCCGAAGCGCCGAACGCGTTCGGCTCTTGAAAGCGTGGAGGAGCTCCACGGATGGAGGGCGGGTGGCTTCTCAAAATGCGGCTCGCGCCGGAACGCTCCATAACAAGCGAACGTTTTTTTATTCGGCGTTTCGGCATTCAGAGCAGGGTGGGGGGGGGGGGTGGGTTTGGCTCCGGACCCCTGATGAGTGCGACTGTTTGCGGCAATGCGTCCATCATGGGGGAGGCTCCACCTGCTCGAAACAGGCGACCCATGGAGGGGGGGGGGCGCGAGGGCCAGGAACCCGGGAACCCAGCCGGCCACCGAAATCGGCGGGAAATTTTCGCCACATCTCTCAAGAAGTCCCCCGGCTGACTTCCACCGTGCCGAGCCTCCGCGAGGCGCCGCGGGCAGAGGCCGCACCCCACCGCGGCCCCGCGCGCGGCGGGCCGCTTGCGGGGCCCGCCCAGCGCGCGCAGCGGCGGCGAGCGGCCCGCGGCCGCCGCCCTCGGCCGCCGCTCGGGGGCCGAGGGCCGCCCGGGCGCGGCGGGCCGCTTGCTGGCATAGGAGGAGGAGGAGGGGGAGGATGAGGAGGAGGAGGGGGAGGAGGAGGAGGAGGAGGAGGAGGAGGAGGAGGAGGAGGAGGAGGATTGAGAAGGAGGAGGATTGAGGAGGAGGAGGAAGAGGAGGAGGTGTGGTCCTGTGTTGTTCAAGGTGCTCCTGGCCCCAAGGTGCCCCCCAGGATTTCGCTCCAGTTCGGGGATCCTTGGGGCCCCATCTGGGCCTCGTGATGGGGTGCTCTGGAGGCCGTGGGGGCCTCCTTGGAAACATCCTGGGGGCACCCTGTTCCAGGGGCACTGCTGGCAGCACCCGATCTCCCAGGGCGCGGGGTGTGGGCTCCCGCAGAAGGACTCGGGCCAAGACGGCGCCTCGCTGTGCTCGGAGGCCTGCGGAGCGCCCAGCCGAAGCCTCCTGGGGCAGCCCCCGCGACCCGCACCTTCCGCACCCTCCGCACCTTCCGCGCGGCGAGGGCCGCGCTGCCGCGGCCGCATCGTGGCGGCGCCTTCCGCGCGGAAGGCGCTGGTCGAGGGATGACGGCGCCACGCTGCGCTTGGCGCAGAGGAGGGGCAACGCCGGGGGCGGGGCATGGCTCCAAGGGGCTGGAGGCATCGACCCCGGAGATGCGGTGCAGCACCGAGGGAGCGGCGGCGAGGGGCCCACGGAGGAGGCGAAGCCGCATGTTCTCGTGGGCGGGCTGGGCTGACGGGCACCGCATCGGCGACGCCTGGGCGATCGAAAAGCGATGCGTTTTCCCCTGGGGCTGTCCTCCCTTCCGTGAGGCCTCGCCTGCTCCGGTGAGGCCCCAGAATGCACGATCCGATGAGTAGCGTACGATCTTCCTTGCTGCCGTATTTAGCCATGCGGCTCTGGAGTCCTGCGCGGAGCAACGCGTGCTTAAATGGTCACAACTCCAGCGTGATGATCTTGTAATGCTGATCCAGCTGTAAGTTTCAAAAGGCAGTGCGTCATAGCTTGTTCATTGGCATTTTTGCTCGTTCATCCTCCCTTCCGTTGCCCGTGAGGTAATGTGCAGTCCGGCAGATGTGGTCTAACGTCGGTCTGACTTTCTGCGGGGGAAGATCTCCAATTATCATTGTCGAACGCAGTGATCCAGCCTTTTGCAGAGAATGCTTTACTAACAGGAACTTGCTCACTGTAAGATTTGCAAACTCGGTCAGTCTGATCCAGTGATCCGGCCTCCTGTACGAGGATGACATCTACTTCCACATAGAACTCTTCTGGTGAGGACTGAATCGTAAAATCCTTCCCACAGATCCCCAAAGGAAACAAGTCTAACATGTGCAATCGCAATTCTCACCCCTTGCCCAACGCGCGCCGCGTTGGGAAGGTGGGCCCAACGCCGACCCAAGAAATCCCCCTGGACATCCAACATGTTGTGCTCACTTCTCTTGGCATATATACACATCGAGATGGATGATAATCCTCGTTTGATTGATTGCTCCCGTTTCATTTCTGGAGAATCCTAAACGCACCAGTACCGCTACTCCCTGGACCCCTCTTCGGGTGCGTTCTGGCCAGCATCTCGAGGCGAATCCAGCCCTGGCGACGAGGGCCTCTTAAGGGGGCCCCAAGAAGAGGAGACGAGGGAAGTGTAGCGGCAAGGGCACCTCTCCCTCCCCTGACATTCTTTAGAAGAAGAAACACATACATAAACACATACTCTTGGCGCTCCGCGCGGACTTCTTGGATTCGCGCTGGACCTCCCTCCCTGGCGCGCGGAGCGCGCCAGGGGCGGCGCCGGAGGCGCCGCCGGGGGGCCCAGGCGCGGAGCGAAGAAATCTGCGCGGTGCGCCAAAAGTTTGTGTTTATGTGGTTTTATCTTCTTCGACTCTTGCCGTTCTCTGACCTTCCAGAGTGCTAGAAAATAGTACTCCAGACCTATAGATCTATCTGGACTGCCTCAAACCTCGACAGGAATTAGGACGTCGATGCCCTGGTTATATTTTTCCCAAGTCAACGCTTGCACTGAAGGGGTCCCAACGGAAATTGCAAGATTTGGCGAAAATTCCCCGCCGATTTTGGTAGCAGGCTGGGTTCCCGGGTCCCCGGTTCCGGGTTCCCGGGCTCCCGGATATTGGTTCCGGGCCGATTTCGGTGGGTTCTGGGTTCCCGGGCTCGCGGGTTCCCGGTCGATCTCCTCAGGGAAACCATCCACTGATTAAGGTTTTTCTCTGGTGGACTTTAGCCCTCCTTGAAGGTCAGGGCTGCCCTTCCGCCCTGCACGCGCGGCAGCACCGGCCGCGTCCAGGAAGAGCGCGGCAAACTTCTTGGCGAAGGCCTCGTCGTCCGCCCGCCTGCGGCCCGGGCCCGGGCGCGGGAGGCTCCCCCAGGGGAGGAGTCGTGCGGCGCCTTGGCCTCGAGACCAGCAGCCAAGACCTGCAGGGCGGCGCGAGCGATCTGCACAAGGCTACGCCACGATTATATATATATATATATATATATATATATATATATATATATATATATATATCAATGTCACCAGAATCAGTGGATGGTCTGAAGAAATCGATGGTGAGATCGATTGAGTGAGATGGAGAATGAGACCGATCATGAGATCGATAATGAATCGTGGGATCGATGAAAAGATCGATACATAAAGAGATGGACCGGGAACCCAGGAACCCAAAACCCACCGAAATCGGCCCGGAACCAATGACCAAGAACCCAGGAACCCAGAACCGGGAACCTGGGAACCCAGCCGGCCATCAAAATCGGCAGAACGCTTTCGCCAAAGCTTTCCCTTTTCAATTTCCGTTGTGACCCCTTCAATGCAAGCGCTGATGGGATAATATATATATATATACACGTGTGGCACGTGTGTGCCCAGGCTCATACAAAACACTAACAGGTCGTTTGGACCAGGAAGCAATCGAAGGGCCTCCTCCTCGAAACCATCGAGGGGCCTCTTCCTCATCCTCATCCTCCCCTCTTCCTCCTGCTTCTCATCCTTCTCGCTTGCCACGAGCGCACGCACATATATCACCAGTGATGCGAGATGGGCTGGCGGAGCGAGCGCAACGATTAATAAGAGAAGTGTAAGCACGATTCGCATCAGTCGATTTGTCTTACTAGATGTGGAGGGAAAGAGAAGGACTAGAAGAGGAGGAGGAGGAAGAGGAGGAGAGGGAGGAGAGCTGCTGGGAGTGAAGTGCTATAGCGGAACCGCGCTCGAGCGCAAGCGGGGTTGCCACACCTTGCGGGGTGTGTGCCACGGCCCCCAGGAAGCCTCAGGAGGCCCGACGAGGATGCCAGAAAATATCCGAATCATCAGGATCGTCAGGGATCGTCAGAGGATCGAAATTGCGAGGATCTCCATGGATGCCTCACGAGGCCCGACCAGGACGCCGCAAGAGGTTCAGGCACGCCGAAGGAATATACGTCTTGGCTCGAAGTTGCGGTAGGCCCGACCAAAAGCTACGCCTCAGGCGAAGCACAGCTCCTGCTCTGTTCTATCGTAGTAACGATGGTCCCAGTCGTAGGAGACCGTCGCGGGAGCGACGGGCCATCACAAGCGAAGGATGTTTTCGGTCTCGATGGCAAATGGTACACCTCGCAGTGGGGCGTAGTCAGATTTAAGCGGCCGGCCGCTTGAGCACACACGGCCGCGGACACACGCTCGTTACCTCTCGCCTGTATCCTAGCTCGCTTTAGAATCGGGGGGGGGGGGGGGAGGGAGACGAGGCGTGAGTCCGCCGCTTCTATACAGCAGATACAGCAGCTACTCTGTACAAGAGGCAGCGCAAGAACGGGGCCGTAAGGAAGGCGGACCCGCACGCAAGTTGCCTTGTCTGCACGTTACTGTGCATACGATTACTCCTCTGGCGGCCGCAAACCAAGATGTCTGGCCAGCCCGATGAGGAGTATGACGCTGTAAGTCATGCTTGAAGCACTGCGTACCCCTCATAACCTGTAGGAGCATATCTCAATCGATGCTCCCATTTGCGTGGCCATCCTTGGTCATGTCGCGAGTGTCGCACCACTGAATACCATGCGCGATTCCTCGCTCAATCATCTGTCGTATCCAACTGATGCGTCCCCGAAGGGTGCACTCAGTCGGCGTCTTCAAGTCTTTGCTTGACGAAAACAGACTCAGCATCTATGGCCCAGGTGACCTTGACGCTCAGGCAGCCCAACTCAAGTATGTCTTTCAACTGAACGGGAGTCAGTGGCCCTGCATGGAGCTCGTGCAGAGTCACGACCGCGGGATGGCAGTCCTCCAAGTTTTGGGCTGCTGCTAGCGTCTCTGCTGAATTGCTTGAGCGGACCTGCAAGCGGTGAGACTTGCAGTACGTATCGGTTAAGTGGGCGAAAGGCTTACAGGATGGCGTGGTTCCACGCCGCAGCAGGTCTGGCCAGCAAATACCGTGGCCTTTGACTTCGTCATCGGCATCTCCACTCAGGCGTCGATAGCCTGAGTCGCTGTGCAGGTCAACTTCGCCCGATGGAACCATCGCTTGGTAGACGGTCTTCTTAGGGCAGGCCTGCGATTTCCTGGTGATCCCGCTCAGTCGTCGCACTTGTATGTCGGTCGTTTCTTGGACTCGCTGTAGAGAGACCACATATACCATCATCGCACTTGGGTTATTACTGCGCAAGCCAATGCGCCTCTGAGTCTGACGAACAAATATGCAACCATCTAGGATGCCTTGGCGTCAGCGTCGGCGCCGGTGAGTTCAGGATGTTGTATGGGACGGAGCTGTTCGATGTATTCATCTTGGTCCAATGTGACATGGCCGTCCTCATCCTTGGTGTACCCCGTAGCACACTTGGCATATGTATCGTTGAATTTGCACTTGCCAAAAGTGTCCTCGACGCACTTGACGCACTTGCCAATGGTGTCCTCAGTGCCGGCGATGTGGATATCATCAACATGTTTGGCTGTGAGCAGGATACTGCTCGTCTCAAACTCCTCGTCGTGGTGCGTGGGTCTGAGACCGCAGCCTCTCGTGGTCCTTCTGAGCTTTAATGGGAAAGCTCTGGGTGCATCCCGGGTGCCGGTGCCTGGCTCGAGGCGCTGCAGGCAGCGCTTCGACTCGTCGCAGCGCTCGAATCCTTGGGGGGGGCCGACGCGCCGTAGCCGATCCAGGAGGCAAAATAAAGCACGCCACACCTTCTTTCTCACCAGTTGCCTCGGCAAGTCCCCGGCAGGTCAGCCCTTGCAGGATGGCCACGTTGACTTCGAGGGAAACAATGGTCCAGCGCTGCCTGCACGCTGCCGCGCTTGCGAGGATCTCTGGCTCGACCGCCGCGCTGTCCCTGAGAGGGTTTCCACGTCGAAAGCTTCAAGGTCCACGCCCAGAAGCGCCAGGCGCAATCCGATGGCAAGTTCCACGAACTTCCAATTATACGCGTACCTCGAAGTCATGATGTTCGACGCCTTAGATATATCTTGCATATTGAAACACTTGTTGTCAAACCGTGTCTTGGGTTCAGTGCGCGGGGCCTTTGATACTTTCTCGGGATTCGCCTGGACGTCGACCTTCGCGAGGAGGTCGTCTTCCTTGGCGACGGCAGCTCGTTTTGCAGCGGCGGTGACATATACCCGCATGGTGGTTGCACGGTCGGCATCGAACACCCTGTGCTGTTGCCCGAAAAGGGCTACCTTTTACATGACACGTCTCCTCGATGTCGGAGTCGCGCGGGTGTCCCCGCTTAGGCAGGTGCCCCCGCTGTTCGCCAGCTACAGTGACCAGCGCACTGTTGTCAATGTGTAAAGGTCGTTTAGTAGAGTTGCCTCCAGTAGCTCCCTTTCACCATGGAGTTCTGTGCACCACACTTCCATAATATGTGCCTCAAGGTCCGCTTCCAATTCCTCATCTATCGTAGGAAGCCGTCCATCCTCCTGCGGTGGTTCGGCTTATGGAGCTTCTCTGGCGTTGTCGTCTTGCGTCGGTATGTCCGCCAGTTCCTCAGACTTTGTCAAATCTTGGTTCAAGCCCGCCTGAGGTTTAGTGGACTTTAGGCACTGGGTGATTCTCGAATGTGCTGATCCAGCGATATCATGAATATTCAGGGCAGTGCACTCTGCTTCATAGTAATGGAAACCTGGATTCACATCGTTGTCAAAATGGACCAATGTGCAACTTCCAACGCAAGCCACCGGAGGTAGCTCATGGATGCCCCTGGCCAACCTAACAGAGACTACGTTCTCATTGCGGGAGAAAATTTCTAATGGGGACTTGTACCGCCAGATCTGCCTTAAGAGATAGCCGGCTTGCACTTGTCATCTGAAGCGTCCCCTTTGTGGTCTGGAGATAAACAAATTTCATAGCAGGCCCCCCCGCAGGTAGACTGGCCACGAATGTCAACGCTGTCCGCAGTGTAGTGTTGTCGGAGCCGACTTCCCTGGCCATGAAAGCTTCGATGTGAAGTGGATGCCGTGCGTGGACTTCAACATCGTGGTTTCCCACTCGAATGATGACTGGACCCCTGTCGAGATCGTTGCCTGCGGCTGGGAACGGGCTATTCCAGCCTCCCCAGTCGCCCTTTCGTAGCTGTGGGGCGATGAAAGCCAACCAAACCTCCTTCATCGTAGCAATGCTGACCGGTGATAGTTGTCTTAGTGCGTAATGCACGGTTGGTCTTGGCTACTGCAGTAGCCTGCGTGATAGCTTCTATGCGTGCCTTGCGTGTCACCTGTCCTCGAGTGACCCCTCGTTTCTGTCGGCATTGCCGGTTGCCGTCCAAACAGAGCATTGTATAGAGACACCGCACTGAAGGTGAATGCGTTGGCGGCAAACAGGGCTTCGAGCAGTAGCCGCGTGAACACAAGAGGTGTGTTTAACCTTTGAAGTCCAGCTTCCATAGCGTGAAGTAGATGACGTCATGCGCCACTTCTGGCTTCAATCGTCGTAGCGCGTTGCCCGCGCGCGCGCGCCCTGAGCTCGACGCCTTTTGTCAAGGACTGCCCTCGCAGCGTCGTTGTTAAGGGCGCCCTCCCCACCGGAGTAGACTACTTTGGCAGGTCCGAATTGAATCCAGCACTGCTGATACGCATCTAGGATACTGGTCATTGTCTTAACTGACACCTCCATTCCAGTAGCATAGCGCATACAACAATCGATGATTTGACGCATCTTGTGTTTATGTGTGTAGAACATAAGGCCACATTCGACTTCTTCGTTGACCTTGCCAGGTAGTGCCGTGGATGGCATAGCGGCATGCCCTGGCTTGTCCCGCGCCCTGTACTCCCGACATGCGTCGCAGACACCTGTGATCAGGCTGAGCCTGACGTTGTCCAGACCTGCCCTGGCTAAGACGAGTCTCATCTTAGGCTCTTTAGCCTGGGGCCATC